TAGCTTTGTTTAATGCACTATAACTTTATTGTTTAGCAAACTTTATATAAGGACTCTGAGACACAACTTAATAGTTTGACAGCCAACTGACAACTAATTGATTATAGTAGATTATAAATATTAAAAGATGTTGGTACCAACCTTCAAAACTCCTTCCGCAAAATCCCCAGTGGGCGTGCCGCTGGGGGAGCAATGCCTGCAGGCGGGGCAAATGGGGCAGGAGTCACTATTGGGGCAGAAGATGCCGCAGTCGTTGTGTGGGCAGGCCTCGGGCGTGGCGTGCCCGGGCCCGGCAGCCCCCCGGCGCGCCCCCCTCGCCCCCCGCGCGTACTGCTCGATGTCCGCCAGCAGCGTGGGGGGCGGCGGGCCGGGGGACAGGTGCAGCACCAGGCTCTCTAGCCATATCTCCATCACTTCGAATGGGGGCCTGGGAAATTTCACACTAGGAGTTATATCAGAATTTAAAGCCTATAAACATTCCCACATCCATCAGTTACCTTCCTGTGAAAGTTTTCGAGATTACGAGAAACAAATATACTCTTACTATACATAGATAAAAATTAACTGTAACTCAAATACAATCATGGTCATGAAATACGATTTCTTCTATTTTGTTTATGTAAAGATTTTACAAAAAAAAAATACTGACACGTGTTTTTACCTAAATACAGATATAAAAAAAGTATAAAAATATAAAAGTTTTCACTTGAAGCCATATGAAGAGTACATAAAATTACAGAAATTGGTAAATTAGCCAATTTTCTACATACTAGCTGTTGCTCGCGACTTCATCTGCGTGAGTTAAACAATTATAAAAATATAGCCTATATTTCAAAATGATAACGTAGCTTCAAGAATAGTGAAAGAATCATTGAAACCTGCCTAGTAGATTTTAGGTTATTTTAATACATACAAAAATACAAATCTCTCCTCTTTATACTATTAGCATAGGTAACAAATACCTGGTATCAGGGTCCAGCTGGCAGGCGAGGAAGGCCACCCTGTAGAAGGGCTCGGGGCAGGCGCTGGGCTTGCAGAACTTCTCCACAAATAATCCTTCATTCAGGCCAAAGTCGCTGCGTCGAGGTAAAAAGTCCGGATCCGCTGATACTCGCCCGATTATCTAAAGTCAAGTAAAGTCTGCTACACACGCTTAGTTTTTAAAAACAGACCGATCGTTCAAATAAATCTAACAAAACTGAGCACTAAGCGATAAATTTCTCTAAATGTCCCATGTTGGCGTCGTTTATGCCGCGCACTAACAGATGGCGCTGTGGCGAGACCGTGTTGTATTAACACACGATGTTGAGAAGAATGTCTCGCCACACATATACTTTCCGGGTGCCCGAGACTGTGTGGTGTTTTTGGTAGTAGTTCTCTCCGTTCGCATTGTTGTTGGTGTTTTGTACTTTTCGTTCGTTCGTTTACTTGTTCAATTTTAAACAAAGTTTTGTAGGATTACAAACAGAAACAGAGATTTGGTCAGATAGAACTAGATTGTGTAGGGGGCTTTAGATTTATATGAACCACCATATTGTTCAGATAAACTGCTAGATAAAAGAGTGTGTGTGAAACGGGCTTTAAATTTATCTAAACGATATGACTTTTCTGATAAAGTTAGCATTGATTGGCTTAACGATTAGTAAATTAAAATGAGAATTATTTGAATTTCGGTAATAACAACTGACCTCGCACAATATAATGCCGAATGAGAAGACGTCCACCTTCTCATCGTACACGTTTCCGTTCATCATCTCCGGAGCCATCCAGTAAGGGTTGCCCACCACCTGCACAAGACGCAGAAAATCAAATACTAGAAAAGATATAGGACATGGACTCGAAAGGTGGGGTAGTTGCAAAAAAATCACGAAGAAGTAGGTTTCGGGTTCTCCAAGGAACATATCGGAACTTAGTGAAGTTAGTGGAGAGAGCAGTGTAGAAGCAGTATGAAAGCGGATTATTCCTAACCGTCACCCCGCGCTGGCCCCACGTCGTAACCGTCCCACCATTTGCGAAGAGGGGACGGTTGGAATTTATTATATTTCATAACGGTTCCATGTCTCCTTAGCGGTGATAGTGAAACTAAAAGGTGGGACGGATGAAATTTATTATTCTTACGTGGGGACGGCGGGGTGACGATTTTTTTTATTGTCTTTATTTGAAACACATATGCAACACTAAGACGCAAACGGATAAACATGAACAAACAATAATTATAGTAATAAAAATTAATTATTATTAACGCAAGGCCCCGGCACCAGAGTCCCGTAGCGATTGGATACTTGGGTGTAACTGCTATTGGGCACGGGGTGACGGTTGGGAATGATCCGTGGAAGCAGTGTGAGAGTAGTGAGAGCTGTGTACTCGCCGTGTAGCGCTTCCTGCGCAGCGCGGCGTGCGCGTGGTGCGCGCGCGGCAGCGAGCTGCTGGCGGTGCGCTGCACAATGCGCGCCAGACCGAAGTCCGCCACTATCACTGTCTGGTCCTGACACAGTACATTTACATCATTACGTCCCCACTGAAGGACTCGGAGCCTACCCTAAGTAAGGACTAGGTCATAGTCTACACGCTGCACTGCGGGACTTCACACATATCTTTGAATTTCTTCGCCTATATGGGCATCAAGGTGTTTTCCTCCATCAGTACAGTACATTTATCACCAAATACTATCAATTACCAAACTATAATGTTAAGAAATTGGTGCAACACTAGATCAGCATACACGTCCCGTCTCTATGACATCTCTTAATGTAACAAGTAATAAGGAAAGCGCGCTATCCTGGCGGCAGTCCCACTGTCCCACCAAATTGTAAATTGTCTGATAACAATCCGACGTGTATTTGATGGAAATATCGGATTTTATTACAGTGACGTCATTTTTAAGCTATCTGAGCCTCTATCAGCCACTACTGGGAAAAGCCGTTAAACTCCAAGATCCATTGAAATTTTTAATTAGAGCGTTTCAGAATTGGGCCGTTATATTTACCTCCCTGACGAGACAGTTGTGTGAGTTGAGGTCCCTGTGGATGACGTTCATGCGGTGCAGGTAGCCCAGCCCCGCCGCCACGTCCCGCGCCAGCCGCGCGCGCTCCGCCCAGCACAGCACGCGCGACCTGTCCTACATACATACATACATACATACATACATACATACATATACAAAAACTAGCTTTCGCCCGCGGCTCTGGCATATTAGTAAATTAACAAAAATCTACTAAAAACTTACAAATAAAAGATTTACTATGAGCTTATAATTAACATGAATTTTAATTAAATTACCTGTAACAATTGATGCAGAGTCCCTCCGGCCACGTATTCCGTGACGAGATGCAGCCTCTTGTCTTTATACAGCACGCCCACGAACCGCAGCACGTTGGGGTGCTGCAGAGATCTCAGCACCGCCACCTGCAAATCGTTATTATTTGAGGACAAATGTATAATTTTTTTTATAACATAAGGTGGCAAACGAGCAAGAGGCCACCTGAATCCACCACAAATGGAAAGCGACTGCTGCCCATAGACATCCGCAATCGCAGATGCGTTGCCTACCCTATCTGACGGAGAAGACGCACATAAAGAGGATATTTCCCCTTCCTATGCATCTCATCCATCGTCAAATCCACTTCCCCTTCCCATCCCCTTATAAGAAAAGGGTGGTAAAGAAAAAGGGACTTAAATTAGGCCTCCGGCACCACACTCATCAGACGAAACACGGAATTGCTTCCACTTCACGCCTGTTTTCTGTATGGTCGTGGTATTACTGGGGGCGAACCAGCCCTGCAGTGCTAAGATGTTAAAGCGGCCACTACCACTGTCAAATATTTAATACGGTCATCTTATACGTCATTATAAAAAACGTAAAAAGAACCCATGTTACTCAGTGCTAACATCGATTTTTAATGGTGAAAGAATTTTTGAAATCGGTCCAGTAGTTTTTGAGTTATTTCAAGACATACAAAAATACAAATCTTTTCTCTTTATAATATTAGTATACATAATGTATTATTGAAAAAATATAGTGTGATTGCTGAAATCCTAATAACCGAGAAGTGTGTTTACGCTTATTATGTATAGTAGATAGATTTCATGCATATAATACGTAATATATACGTATAATACGTAACATGCGTACACGTGTGCGTAACATGCGTACAAAAGTACGTAACATGCGTACACGTGTGCGTAACATGCGTACAAATGTACGTAACATGCGTACACGTGTGCGTAACATACCTCCTTAAGGAAGTTCCTCTGTGCGTCTTCATCAACGCGGTAGAGTTGCTTCAGCACCATCACCTCGTTGGTGTCTCTGTGCGTCACCTTGTACACCTGCCCGAAGAACCCTGAACCCAACAGCTCACCCTGAAAATCAAATAAATTCACCATTAAAATTTAATTTCCTATATTTATCCGCGACTTTGGATAGAATAAAAAAAACAAGTTAGTAACGTCTATGTGTTTTTCAGACTATGTTTTACACCTATGCTAAATTTCATGGTTATCTGTTCAGTGGTTTAGGCTACAAACTCTAACATTCATCAATCCAAACTTTCGCATTAATAAAAGTAAGAAGTAAGATTTTTAAGACTAATTGTTGCTCGCGACTTCGTCTACTTGACATTTAAATGCTTTTGATTTCTATCAACACATACAAAAATACAGATCTTTCCTTTCTATAATATTAGTATAGTTTGTATACTAAGATACTAAGGTCTGTTTTAAGGTCTTTAAAGATAGAGAGATAAGAAACTAACAAACTTACTTGCAATAAATCTGAGGCTCGGAACACTTTCTGTCCTTGCGCGGGTTCTGCTCTGAAGGAGCGCGCGCGGCTCAGGTCGCACAGCACCCCGCTGGCTTCCGGAACATCCACACTACTGTAATATATTAAATCATCATCATCATCACCATCATCATCATCACCAGCCGTCCAAGTCCACCGACACGTCCGTCCATATCTTTGAATTTCTTCGCAGATATGTGCATCACGATGTTTTCCTTCACCGAAAGAACGTCAGGTAAATTACGTATATATGAAATTCTAAAATCACAGTACAGAGGGGTTCTGACTCCAGACTAATTCAAGTCAAGTGCTCAAACCCCTGAGCCATCGACGCTCTTGCCAAATTTAACCAAACACTAACATTAAAAACAAAACTAAAATTACTCACACATCAAGTAACTTAGACATACTACTACTCCTTTCTTTATCTCCTAAAAGTGGAGAAGAAGGCGTTTGCCGTCTTTTTATCACTCTCTTCCCACCATCTTCTCCCTTCCTTTTAAACAGTCTCTCTTTTTTTGTTCCTTCGTCGTCTCTTAACGTTCTTTGGTCATCAATGGAATGTCTACTGGGAATGTGTTTTTTTAAGTCTTCTTTGTGTATCTTTCTTTCAATGGGCGATTTCCCTTCGAGTTTCGGTCGATCATCGCAGTCTATATGTCTGTCTGTCTGTGTGTTTGTTGAAGATCCTCTAATCATATTTAAGGTGTCAGGATTGTGTTCTATCGTTAACTGTAAGAGAAATAGCCAAGATAAAATTCTAATATCCGGCTCGAAGGACCATTATGATAACTGAAAATCTAAAGGTAAACGTTTGTTACAAATTAATACAAATTTATCTTAATCTTTTAAATGTAACGTAACTTTCTGTACCGGTATGAACCAGATCAAACCAGTTTCTACCAAAGTACCTGGACCACGGCGTCAGGATCGAAGTCAGGGATGTTGCAGCCGCGGACCGGAGCCCCGTTGATCTCCAGCACGCGGTCTCCAATGTGTAAAGTTAACACACCGCAGCTCGAATCGATTCTATTCATAGATATGTTAAAATTTCTTTTATACATTAACCTTTTAACTGCTGTCAATCTGTTAATTTTTTTTTGTTAGATTAAGAGCGTGTGTTTGAGAAAACTATCGCACAACTGTTAAGTCTTTGATTCCTATGAGCTATGGAGGTGCACTACTCGATTTTGAGTTGTGCAACTAAACAGTTGTGGCTGCAAAACAATCACATAACAGTCGTGCGATAGTTTATTCAAAGGTGTGCAGGGTCTTTTTGACCGACTTCCCAAAAGAAGGAGGTACTCAATTCATCTGTATGTTTTTTTTTTATCTGTCAAACTAAATCACTGCAAACTACATATAAGATAAGCAAATGCACATGGAATTCTAATATTAAATTGCCAACTATTAAATTTTAATTGACTGAAAGACTCAATTCCAATTAAGTGCCACATCGCTACCCAAGAAGCAATCATGCATAATTAAAATCACACTTAAGACTAACGCAATAAGGTTCAAAACAGATACATTGCAAAAGCAGGGACAAGCAGACATATAAAATACCATCTTCATCTTAACTGTACTGAGATTTGCTTTTAGCTGGAAAAAAAATTAAAAGAAGAGCTACACAACAAACCATGCTACTTCTAGAAGAGTCTATTTCACCTACAAATCCATAATATGCTGTTAGAAAATTCTACGTCTATTTCGAATCCATATATCATATCTAGAATGTTCTGCCGTTACTAGAAGGATCCATGTGTAGTATTCCATGCATTCTAGAAGTTTCTATCGTAGTTAGTACCTATGGCAGGTGAGCTGTATGCAGACGGAGACCGCGGCGCGGAGCAGCGCGCGCGCCAACGCGGACAGCTTGCTGGCGCATCGCCCGCTATGTTAATATCGACGTTATTGACTATAGCGTAAGGTTCACTTTGATTTGTGCATAATGATATGACGTCACAATTTGTATGGTGTACAAAAATGTTACAGGAAATAGACGATTTAAGTATAGAGAGTATTTATGTCGCTAACTGTACATTGTAAAATGTAAAGCCTTAGCGTCATATTCATCATATAATTATACACGTATGCCTATGTTAGTGCAATTTTAACATGTAAACATTTAAATTAACGATATATGAAAACAGATTAAATGTTGAATTTAAACCCGATTTGTTTAAACAAATGACATAAAAAAAATTGCCTCAAAAACGAAAATGAAGTGCAAATTGATATTTTGCTGTACAATATACAGTGTGTTATGTAATAATGTTAACAATATTATTATATATATGTTATAAGTACAGGTCGGAGTAGGTAGATTAAAGGTCGTGGGCGTCAAATGTAAAGGATAGTATGGATATGCCTCCGAAATATTTATTGTGATATTTGTTCCGGAATTTCGAAATTAGCATTTAAATAATTCATTGTATTATTAATAAGCAATTTTGTTAACCTATCTGTACGTTTTTATTATATTTTATTCCATAATTCAAATCCCGGATTTTTTTCTGATACTACCCGTACATTATGGTTAAGATGGCATGTCCATATTATATCTTGTGGCAAGTATATAAAATCTACCTACTCCGAGCACTTGTTATGTTATACAGGGGATGTGACTGACTGTGCTATGGCGAGGGCGGGGGCGGGGGCGGGTGCTGCGGGTGCTGCGGGTGCGAGGCGCAGCGCACGTCGCGGTAGTCGCAGCACGTGGATAGCGTGCGCGTCACGTGGCCCGCGCATCGCCGCCCCGCAACACGCACCACTATTACGTCATACTATTATTAAAACTGTGGTGTGGACACTCTTTTTTTTACTAATATAAATGCCCAAGTTAGAGTTTGTAGCCTTGCTGAACGGATCTCGATGAAATTTGGCTTGAATTTACAAGTAGAACACATACGCATTTTATTTTTTTTTTAATTCCACGCAGACAGAGTCTCGGTCGAAAGCTACTAGCTGTAGTAATATGCATGACTTTTTGTGAATAAAAATAAATAAATAGTAAGAATGTATGGAGAGTAGTAGCCATGTATGTATAGTCTAATTCTTACACGCATACTATACTAAAATCATAGAGCTATGTCTAATAAAGACAAGGCAAGTTAAGAGGAATCTGTAAAACAAAAAATATTCATCTTAAATTTTTTTTCTTAATTTCACGCAGTTACCGAGGTAATTTAGGAATCTAGTAAAAATAAGTAATACTAACCAGTACAAATGCGATCTTTCTAACAGCGCGTATGGCTCGCCGTCCTCCACGTGTGCGCCGCACGCCGCGCACGCGAAGCACTCCGGGTGGAAGCGGTGCTCGCCCGCCAACATCACCGGCCCCGTTATCACCTGCACACACATTCATACTCTGACCTTACATAGTTTCATCTCTTTTCTTCTCTTTCAAAACAACAGAGATAACACCAACAGTGGCAAAACATTGAATCACGGCACTTACTCTTACTGATATTATAAATATTTGTTAAAGAGTTCAGAGAGAGATGCAGAGTATAATCTGGAAGAAAACAACTAACAGGCCTTTTGTTTTTTTTTTTAATTCCACGCGAATGGAGTCGCAGGCGAAAGCTAGTGTAAATATTTTGTTAACGTCATCGACCAAATTTGTAGAGCAGAGTCTTTAGCATTCATACGATGTCGATGATTTTACGAGTTCTAAAAATGTTAATTTTTTATTTTAATATTCAGTCTTAACCTCTACATTTAATTGTCAGATATTTATATGAAAACGAATTATATTTTTTTCTATTTTTTGAACACCCTGTAAACATAAACGAAGAGTATTGATAGTAACCTGTGCGCATTGCTGGCAGTTGTCTCCGTAGCGAGACCAGTAGTCATTCTGACAGAACAACAGGCCCGCCTTCTCGAAGTACCACGTGGATAACGACGCATCGCAAACCGAGCACCTGCAAATAGTAAAAGTCTTAATTTCTTTCGTATATCTGTTATAAATGTGAATATTTGGATGAATGGATGTTCTATCTATACTATTATAATAAAGCGTAAACACACACTTCTTTGTTGCCTAAGATGTCAGTAATTACAGCATGTTTTTGAATAATTCTTTTTTTAATAAAAAGCCATACTTACGTCACGCTTTATGCTATATTTTGGATAAAAGCCCTAATGTGGGAAAGAGATCATAAGTTGCTGCCAACATCAAGGAAGCAAGGTTAGCATGGTTTGTCATAATGACATTGTCATGTCAGTTTGACATTTGCAATTGATAATTTGACACATGTAAACAATAAAATAGAATTTTCATAATTTCATGCGGATGAAGCCGCACGGGAACAGCCAGTCCTTATAAGGTGCTTAATGCAAGCTCAAAATAGTGGAATTCTTGTGTTGAATTAATTTCAAAACACCAGGCAATATTGAGGAAAAATATGGTACTTTTGTTACATTATAAAGAGATTTAATAAAGAACTTGATTTCATGCTGTAAGGCCAGGATTTAAATATTTTTAAAATACCAGGTAAAAATAGATCGCTTAGTTGTTTGTCTTAAAATTTAAATTATCAAAGTGATTACCTAAAGCAGTCTTTGTGCCAGTCCTGTCCCAACGCCGAGATATATTCATCTTCACCAATATCATTAAGGCACCCTGCGCATTTGAGGGATTCTGTAACAATAAGCATGTAGATATTAAAAATGTGTTTATTATTATTGTGTAATCATGTTTATCCGACTGTGTTGTAATCTTACTAATATTATAAATGCGAAAGTTTAGATGGATGGATGTTTGTTAGCGTTTGTAGCCTAAACGGCTGAACGGATCTCTATGAAATTAGGCACAGGTTTAGAGCATAGTCTGGAAAAACACGTAGGCTACTTTTTATCCCGAGAATAGTTACGGTTCCCGTGGGAATTATTAATTTAGTATTTTAATGTTTACTCGATCATTCTACAACGGTTCAACATATCTCATTGAAATTTGGCACAGATAAAACAAAGTCTGGAGTACACATGGGATAAGCTTCCTTCCCGAGAAATGTTCGTAGCCGACGGATACGTAGCTTTTTCTAATTTATATAGTTTGTATGTTTTCTAATACCACACGGTCGAAGTCGCGGGCAACAGCTCGTATTGCATATGTGTAAAAAATAAATGCAATAAAAAAAGATATTAAAAAAATATGCTCAGGGGTTCTGAACCCTTATTGTTGTATACTTAATATACAAAGGTAAAGGAAGAGCAAAGTGTGGCTGGATTGTATGAAAGAGGAAGTGGATTCAGTTAGATGGCCGTTAGATATGTATGGTGTAGCACTGTGCCGACCCTCCATAGTGACAAGGGCAAGTTGATGATTGATAAAATGATGTATGGGCAATGCATATAATGAAAATCTAATAATTAAATTTAGTTCCTGCCCATCCACAAAGCATTTATTCTGGTAATCTCCAAAACAGTTAGTAGTATGAATGTATAAATGTGAATGAATAAGAAATATACATTGATCTGATTTTTTTTAATAAGTTATGAATGAATTGGTTTTTTCCTTCCTTTATGGGCACTAACAGATTTTTTTGTCACTACATAATGTGTCATTATATAACAAAATTACCTGTTAGTCAGACATAATAATACTAAGCTATTGTAGTTAAGTTCAATCTATAATGACAATTGCATTTAAAATATTAATCATACTAATATAATTAATGTGTAAATTTGAATGAATTTTTATTAGAATTTATGTCCATGGTGGTTCAACATATCTTGATGAAATTTGGCACAGATGTAGAAGTCCGGAAGAACACATAAGCTTTTAATATGTTTATGTCATATTTCTGAGGGAGCAAGTACAGGTTAAAGCTAGTCAACTATATTTCAAAATGGCTTTAAGTTCATATCTTATTTACTACTGCCATTTGTATTTTTAATTTTACTTAAAACTTGACTTATGTTGAAGCATTCTAAATCAAATTATTTATTAAGCACTGTAAAGTTTACAGTGCTTAATTCATTTACAGGTTACAGTTATTTACTTAGAAGCTAATTAAGCTACCAAGTTATCTTCTACCATAAAATCAATCAATGGTTTTTCATTAAAATTTTATTTAAATAAATGGCAATTGTTATAATAATGAATCATGCATAAGTCATACATTCTATATATTTCATGTTACTAAGTTCACTAAGTTATGCTAAAGCTTGCTGACTAAGTGGAAGACTCACATCTAAGTTATGTTTTGTGATTATGTGTTGCTATGTCGAACATAACAAGCACTGGTAATAACAAAAGCATTATTAGCTGATTCTGAGTAAATTAAAGTTTTGTTTAATCACATTTGTTTAAAATAACAAGGAGATGTCAGATTTTAATTGATTTTTTTCTTAAGGGTTATATTTATACACAATGGAAAAACAAAAAACGCGGAAGTAAATTGGGTACTTGCTCGGTTTTAATATTGCTAATTTTATGAATCGAATGTCAACTTACACAAATTTGCTCGTAATATTTATAGTTAGCAATAACAATTAGCACTACAAATTCATCGTAATAGGCAAGTCTAGTCTAAACAAAAGGTAATTCTCAGTATAAAACAAGTATCGCCCACTCAAAATAATTGCAAGTTTATAGATGTTATTACATTGTAATATATCTGAATAGTTGGGATTAGAAAATGAACCTTACCATTCACATTCGATTCCTCCATTTCATTTCAAAAGCTCGGTTTTAATACAATAATAAATAAAAATTATATTAGACTCCTATCCATGATTGTGGCGAATGACGTAAATCGTAAATTGACATAAGTCATAAACTTAACTAAAAAATAAAAATAGAGAATACAGCAAAGACAATAGACCATAGAGTAGTGTTTATGACTAATATCAACAGATTATAAAACAAACACTATGTTTTTATAGATTGAAATCTTTTAACATAAATATAGTATGCCTAAGTACTACTAATTTTTATTAGTGATATTAATATTCAAGTTTGCGATCCACACGCATTGTTTGCGTCATGCATACCAGTTGGACCACTTTTTAGACACGTTCCATTTAACGAATGTAAAAATCAGTTTGTGAAAAATTACATTCACTATTTATTGCTCGTAATATTAAGATTATTGGTATGTAAATAAAATTCACCATTTTATTATAATCTTTATTTACATTATTTACAAGTATTTGGCTCATAAACATTATATTGGTGGCCAGTACAGTGTGGCTTCATTATGTGCGGACTCGGGCAGCCATTTCAGGTATTCGTCTAATAAATCTGCAAAAAACAGTACAAACATGAATAACATTAAGATATAATGCCCACCTAATAATGGTAGTCGTTTAAACACTTTTCTTCCTAGTTATGAAATAGATAAAATCTTATTATAAACTCATTCTAACTTTTCTATATGGCCAGGAAAAATATTTACATGTCACTAGACAATATCATGGTCTATGGTTATTTAAATTTTCATTGCGTTAAACTGCAATTATGTCTCGTTTTACTTATTGTCCGTTATAAAACTGAAGACTTATGAATATTTAGAACTCACACTTCGGATTATCCTCCCAGACGTCCATCAGTTGTTGTCTAGTGCCCGCTCTGTGACTTATAAGTGCTTTGAGCAGCAGCTCAGTGCGCGGCTGCAGCCGGGCCCAGCTCTTCACCATCGTGGATGGAGGAGATAGTAAAGAACTCGTGTATTTCTTCAATTTAGGAAACACTACACCTTCTAGAAGGTATCTAGCGAACCATCTGCAAAGAAAAAAAATAAAGCTCATCTGAATACAAAAAAGCTTTTTTAGTTATAAAATCGATTATTTGCTTTGACTGTAGTTATAGATTCGTTGAAAATCATTAAATCATAAGTATCTAAACTGGATCTGACAGCGGAGGAGACGCATAAGAAAGGGAAATATCCTTTTTATGCGCTTTTCCTCCCTTGTCGATTTAAGGTAGGAAACGCATTAGCATTTGCGGATGTCTACGGACAGCGCAGCGCCATTTTGGCGGATTCAGATCGCCGCTTGCTCATTTGCCACCTAGTGGTATAAAATAAAATAAATAATTACTACACTAGGTTAGAATCAGTATCAAGTAATATAGTAACACTGAAAATTTAATCGAGTATAGGAAATAATTCGAGTCAATCGATTTCTAATTTTTAGACAAGAAGTGCATCCCCCCACTTAAAACTACTAAGTTGTAACCTATCATTTTAGTCGAGTTCATTAGTAAAACAAAACTTTTGTAACATTTTTTGGACATAAGAATGCTACTAAATTACTAGGTACACGAATAAACTAACCCAGTGTTTCTCAAAGTGGGCGATAACGCTCCCATAAGGGCGTTTGAAACCTAAAGAAGGGCGTTATAGGACCCCAGAAAAAAATGGGGGCGTTGATATGGGTTAGGGGGGCGATGCATAATTTATAATTTCAGTTATTTTATACAGTACTACCTGTCGCCTGCGACTCCGTCCGCGTGGAATAAAAAAAACTAAAGTAAGTAGCCTATGTGATCTTCTAGCCTATCCCCTACATCTATACCAAATTTTCTCGAAATCCGTTCAGCCGTTTGGGCTACAAACTCTAACAAACATACATCCATCCATTCATCCATTTAAATTTTTGCATTGATAATTTTAAATTCCACTAAAATTGTATAAAATGGGGCGCGATGAAAGATCATTGCTTTTCAAAGGAGTACAAGAAATAACTTTGATATACACTGAACTAGCCTAGTGCTTAGTTAGTGTTTAACTTCTTTAAGTTACCTGTATCGTTCTATTTTGTCTGGATAATCTATTTCCACAACGGGTAGTTCCCAGCACGCCTTCCCGAATGTTCCTTTGAAACTGCATCTTATTCGACCTGAGATTTCATCGTATCTCGGCTCTGTGTCCGTTAATGGTTCACCTTAGTAAAGTAAATAAGATATTACTAATATTATAAACAGGAAAAATTTGTATTTCTGTATGTATTGAAATAACTCGAAATCTTTGGAGGAGGCCTTCACCTGATAGGGGTCCATGCAAAAGATATGACATTTAAAAAAAAAATTGAATATAATTTAGATTAATAATTAATAGAAAAAAAAAATAATTAGGACATTTTTGATTATTTATTGAAATAAGTTTAACATTATATGACCGAATTAATTTTTCTAATCTCATATATCTGTATGTAATATATAAATAACAATAATAAGACATGTACCATTCAATTTTTTGTAAACTTTTGTAAACTATGGCATGGAATAAAAGGCTTTTTTTTATTTATATTTATTATTGAAATAACTCAAAAAGTACTGGACAGATTTAGAAAAATTCACCGTTAGAAAGGTGAGTAACTTAACCGAGAGGTTTTTAACTATTTTTACTATTGAGTAAATCACTTTGTCAATCAATAAATAAGTTGAATGAATGTGTGAATTAAGTAACTAGCTCTCGCCCGCAACTTCGTTCGCGTAGAAAAGAAAAACAAAAATAATTAATCTATTTGTACTTCCAGACTATCCTCTACGTCTATGCCCTCTCTCTAACACTAGAAGAGAGAGAACTCTAACCAACTTCCATCCATACATCTAAACTTTCGCATTTATAATGTTAGTAAGATAAGTATGATGGTGAATGAATGAACGAGTGAATGAGTGAACGATTGAATGAATGATCAAACTTACCCAAGTTGCACAACTGAGGCACATAAACCGGTAGCCATTCAGGTTCTATCGCGGTTACGTTCCTCATCACCATCTTGCGTCTCGCTTCCGCACCAGTTTCGTACAACTCCTGGTACACCACCCACTCAGGTATGCATTTCCTAAGTATTGACTCTGAGTGCAAATGCACTGGCTCCTCTAGCTCCGCGCAGTGGTACGCGTATTTGAATTTACGTTTGTCCTCGCCTGGAAGATTGTGAACCTTATTAGTATATGAGTAAAGTGCATTTTAAATTAATTGGTTTAACTTTAGTTTATCCTGGAGCTTCTTTTACTAAATTTTAACGAGGAGGCATAATATTAGTTACTCTACCCCATTCCGACCTGTTTGTACAAGGAAAGGATAAGAAAAAGAAGGGGAAATGGTGGGAGACGTATAAGTAGGAGAAACTAGAACTTTTAACAGTGGTAGTGCCCGCTTTAACATCTTCGCACGAATGGGTCGGCTCGCCCGGTGTAATACCACGACCACACAGAGAACAGACGTGAAGTGGAAGCAATTCCGCGTTTCGTCTGATGAGTGTGGTGCCGGAGGCCTAATTTTAGTCCCTTTCCCTTTCCACCCTTTTCTTAAGAGAAAAGGATGGGAAGGAAAAGTGGATTTGACGGTGGAGGAGACGCATAGGAAGGGAAAATGTCCTCTTTATGTCCTCGCATCTGCAATAGCGGACGTTTATGGGCAGCAGTCGCTTTCCATTTCGGTGGATTCAGGTGGCCACTTGCTCGTTTGCCACCTTATATTTTATAAAAAAATATAATTTTCCTGAAAATACAGATATGTCTATGGGTCAGTATAGATGTCAGTCTACGGGTTTTTTGGAGAATTTCAGTATTCTTGCTCATTGACACTATAAAACCCTTTTCAACTATATTTACCTTCTTTAACCTCATGCAAGGCTATCTTCTTCCCGACCTGGTCTCCAAGGCCGCTCAGCACGAGCTGCCGTAGCAGCCGGGCTTGCTTCTCATCCGGAGGCTTCATATCCGGATGGATTGTAACATCAACACCTGACACACTGAGATTTATCTCCGATGTTAATTGCTTACGAAGTTTCCTTATCTCCTTAATAGCCTGGAAGAAAAGTGTTTTATATGTTGTAAATATTGAAGTCAGTTGTCTGGTTTAAAGCCAGTTGGATGTTAGCACTGGAATGTTAGAACGCTACTGGCTTTACTAAACAAGTATTTACTAAGATATGCGGATATCTACAAGACAAGAAATTGAAAGAGGGTAAGTTTATGAAGAGAGTAAATTCAGATATATACTATGCCTTAGTAGGGACAAATTAGTATTATTGCTATATGGTTTCCATTTATTTTATCACGAGCTGTTGCCCGCGACTTCGTCCGCGTGGTATTAGAAAACATAGGAACTATATAAATAACAAAAAGCTACGTATCCCTCGGGAACCGGACACCTCGGGGATGAAGCTTATCCCATGTGTACTCCAGACTTTGTTTTATATCTGTGCCAAATTTCAATAAGATATGTTGAAGCGTTGCAGAATGATCGAGTAAACATTAAAAAACTAAATTAATGAATCCCACGGGAACCGTAACTTATCCCGGGATAAAAAGTAGCCTATGTCTTCTTCCAGACTATGCTCTAACAAACATCCATCCATCCATCCATCCATTTAAACTTTCGCATTTATAAAATTAGTAAGGAGTAAGATTACCTAGTAATCAGTGTTAGATTGACCTAAGTTGCATCGGAGTAAAACTAATGGTAAAAAACTAGGAAACCGGTCATTATACTTGTATATATGACTAACTTTTTCCCTTAGGCCGTGTTTAGCACAGAACAGTTCCTCTTCCCCGTTGAGATGTGCGTACTCCGCGGCGCCCACCGCCCTCAGCAGCACGCCGGCGTCGCCCAGCAACAGCGTCTGCCCCGTCGCCGGCCACTCCGTTTTACCACTCATCACCTATATCATAGGGAATTTACATTTTTTTCGTCATTTTTTAAACCAGAAAAAAATCATTGAGCTAAAAAAACAAAAAAAAATTTCGACCGAATAAAATGCGGCCGGAGTGTTGTGACGTCATCAAAAAAGGCAAAGCATTTGATTGGTTCTCGAAGTATCAAAAGGCAAAAAATGATAAAATTCACCTATAAGTTGCTATGACCAATAGCATTGCGTTTTAGAACTTGGCGAGGGAATTTTAACATATTTTGAATGTTTAAATTTCGCTACTAAATCATTTCATATTACAAAAATCTTGATAGATATTTTACTGGGTGTGACACGTTTCTTACTAGGTGAGGCACGTGTCTTACCGAGTGGGGCACGCGTGTAGCCGGGTCAGGCACGTGTCTAGCCGAATGAGGCACGCATCTAGCTGTGTGAGGCATGTATCTTACCGGGCGAAGCACGTGTATTACCTGTTAGGGCACGTGTCTACCCGGGTGTCTATCTTACCTCAGGCACGGTGAGCGCAGCGACGAGTGCGATAGCATAAGGCAGCAAGTTCTGTTGATGGCTCAGCGCCAACATCTTGCCGTATCGCGGTAGCAATGGGAACGCGGACACCGCCTTGCCCAGTGACGTCACTTTTAATATCTACACAAATAATAGCTCTTTAATAAAGGGAAATCTGGTGAAGGAGCCAAGAATTAGTAATTAAACAAAATAAGTCTGTATTTTATAAAGAAAATCAATTGATTTTGAATAAATAAATATTGTGCCAACCAGTGACTTGTGACGTCATAGTTCTTATGTCCCATTAAGTAAATTAGCTGTCAGTGACAGTTTTGTTTATAGTTCTCATTTATTTTTTCGACTCTAAATATTGTACTATTTGCTTCATAGAGCACAATACTAGGTATGAAAAATACTATAACTTTCCAGCAATTTAACAGATCCATATCATTGGTACATTCTTATTTGGTTAAAATCGTACTATTTTTACTTGAACATTTTTTAATTTACCTGTTCTTGGTCGTTCCTTTTGCTTTTGTTATGTGGTTCTTCTAGTATACCGAGCACTTGGAGACGTTTCTCAGCCAATCTCAGTTGCAGTCTGTCCGGTGCCGTCGGGAATGGGAAATTTACAACCTGACGAAATATAACGAATTATTTCTGTTTAAACGGAAATCGTCTTAACAACTTGATTTGAGAAAAGATTGGGTTTTCGTAGGTATCACTATTAAAGCTATGTTATCAGTGAGTAACATAAGTCATACGAGTCACTTTTTTTTTAATTACTCGTCGACGAAGTGGCTAGCAATCGCTATCTTACCAATATTTATTTATTTTTTAAATCGTGTAAAATTAAATACACATAATTACAATATATACAATGAACAATAAGAAAAAAAATATATATACATGTATTCTTAAACAAAACAAGACCTAACGCAGGGTATGTTAGGTCATGTTACGTTAGGTACGTGTCCGCGCAGCCAATGCCTCGTGATCGGGCAGTCGGGCTTATCACTTAGCCCTCTTAGCATGCTGTTGGTGCTCTCCCGGACTCTGCGTAAAAGAGAAGCCGTCCGTTTGCGCAGTATGGCATTAAAGCCGTCAATCCGCGCATGCGCAAACATCTCTGACGCACTGCAGTGTCGGGGGAGCCCCAGCAGCATCCTAAGGCTATTATTATATTGGACGCGAAGAGCGGTGATAGCCCGTTGCGTGTAACTAATCCACAGATTGCACGTGTAGAACGACTGGCAGTACGCCTTAAAAAGTGAGATTTTCACATCTGTACTACATCGCGCAAATCTGCGGGCCAGCATGTTGGCACGGACTGCCATCGCCCTTCGCTCCCTTTCAATATCATTGTCATCCTTCAAGTCCTCAGTGACCACATGTCCGAGGTACTTGAAGGACGAGACCCTACGTAGGTCCACGCCATTTAATTTTATAGGAGGAATATGTTCCCTCTTACGACCTCTAGCTCTGAACAGTATTAACTCGCTCTTGCTTACATTGTACACGAGGCCATGAGTGTTCGCATATTCCTCACATATCACGATCAGTCGTCTTAAAGCGGCAACCGAAGGACTAAGCAGCACCATGTCGTCCGCGTAGCTAATACTGTTTACAGTGCACCCGTCGATGGAGCATCCGACGCCGGCGCTGCTGAGCTCCACGATCAACTGATTTATGTACAGATTAAAAAGCGAAGGCGAGGACAGGCCACCCTGCCTCACCCCGCATTCCAACCTATACGCCCGAGACAACTGATCAAGCCATTTGACCATATTGTATATGCGAAAGTCTAGATGGATAGATGTTAAAGTTTGTAGCATAAACTGACGGATCTCGATAAAACTTGCCATAGATATAGAAGATAGTCTGAAATAACACGTTGTCTACATACTTTAGTTGTTTTAAATACTGAACTGAAGGGAATTACAAAAATCCATATAATTCCTGAAAAAATGTATATGAAGTAATGTGTTCACCTTATCAATGCCCATACACTTCATGAGCAGTAGGATATCATCAGGGGGCCTGCGCACGAGGTCGGGCGCGTGGTGCGGCGGCAGGTCGTGCGCGAACACCGCGGCGCTGTAGAGGCGGTAGGCGTGTCCGGCGGCCGTGCGGCCCGCGCGCCCCGCGCGCTGCGCCGCGCTCGCCTGGCACGACCACACCACGCGCCACGCCGACGCACCCGTTATGTGGTCGTACACACTATACACAAATACGTGTTAATCCATACTAATATAATAAAGCATAAACACACACTACTTTGTGGCGTAAGATGTCAGCAATCACAATATATTTATGAATATTTTTTTTTATAAAAAGCCCTACAATGACGTCACGGTTTAGGCTTTATATTTTCACGCTATTAAACTTAGGGGGTAAATAAATTGGATAAAAAGCCTAATGTGGTAAAGAGACCATAAGCTACAATCTGCCAACATCAAGGATGTAAGATTGCCATAGTTTGTCATCGTGTCATGTCATAGTGACATTTGGAATTGATAATTTGACAAATGTAAACAATAAAATATTTTTTTCATAAATTCATGGGGATGAGAAGTCGTACGGGAACAGCTAGTATAAGATAACGCATCATTCGTGTAAGTCGGCGTCATCATTAACAGTGGTAGAGCCCGCTTTAACATCTGTACTGCAGTACTTACAAGGCTCGCCCGGAGCACCACGACCCCACAGAAGACCGGCGTGAATTGGAAGCAATTCCGCGTTTCGTCTGATGAGTGTGGTGCTGGAGGCTAAATTGTAGTCCATTTCCCCTTCGACCTTCTCTTATAAGGAAAGGACTGATTGGGAAAGTAGATTTGACGGTGGAGGAGATGCATAGGAATGGGAAATATCCTCTTTATGTGCGTCTCCGCCTCCGTCGTTTTACGGTAGGTATCTGCAATTGCGGATGTCTATGGGCAGCGGTAGCTTCGCCATTTTGGACAAAATTTTAGGAACCTTTGAACTAGATAATATATATAAGTTAGGAAAAAATAAAACACCCATCTCATTTGTGCGCGTTAATATTATAAATACGACATATAGTGAAAAGATTCTTGTAACATTTTAACATTGATTTCTACATGTAATATTTTTATCTGTCATAGACAAGGAACGGGCAAAACAACAAAAGCGCCTAAAATGTCACTGAAATTTCTTACAACATCAAATTAATATTACTCACCGCATCTTCTTCTTGCCGGTATCCACGACATATTTGATATGCGGTATGGTGAGGGAGGTCTCCGCCACGTCCGTACTGACAACGCAAAGCCGCGCCCCAGCGGGGGGGGCAGCGAACACACGCGACTGGGCACTCGAACCAAGCATAGAGTATAGTGGCAATGTCCATAGTGGCTGACGACACGATCTTATTTCCGGCTCTAGTACGCTGTCTTCATTATCTACGAATATAGTTTATTATTATGTCGTGACCGAAAAATACGCAACATTGAGGAATAATCATACTAATCTAATTTACATGGAGATTTGTTAAGCAGTTTTGGAACATAGTAACCGACATCCATACAAAATTAATTTTACTATTATTATAAAGTAGCTTTCGCCCGCAACTTCGTGCGCGTGGAATTAAAAAAACAAAGTACCCTGTGTTCTTTCAGAATATCCCCTATATCTATACCAAATTTCATCGAGATCCGTTCAGCCGTTTAGGCTACAAACTCTAACAAACATCCATCCATCCAAACTTTCGCATTTATAATTAGTATGAAGTATATTGTGAATGTTTGGATGGATGGATATTTGTTAAGGTTCATAGCCTAAACTTCTGAATGGATTTAGAAAATTGGCACAGGTGTAGAGCAAAGTCTAGAACACATAGACTACTTTTTTAATTCTGCGCCGATGAAGTTGCAGAAAAACCTATATAGGTTTTTCTTCTAGTGCTATATAGCACTAATTCCTTTGTAATAGAGAAAGCGATTGAAACACCCTCAGACCTATATACTAATATTATAAAGAGGAAAACTTTGTATGTTTGATGGTAATGAAATAACTCAAAAACTACTGGGGTAATATCAAAAATTCTTTCACCAATAAAAAGCTACTTTGTCAGTAAGTAACATAGGCTATGTTTTATATTATTTTTTAATTTCACTCGGACGGAGTCGCGGGCGAAAGCTAGCATAAATATCTAATTGTTTAACTTACCAGAATCACTTAAATGTCCCTCACTATCGCTGCCAACAAGGTCGGGCTGGCCGTCGTCCTCCGGCATCTCATAGTCGTCCAAGTTAACTTTAGGCAACGCTTTCGATTTTATCTTCGCTTTCCGCCTCGCCTTGCGAGCTCTTTTCATTTCTTTTTCCACCTGGAAATTAAAAAAAAAAACATATTAAATCGACTTAAAAAGGAGGTTATCAATTCAAGAATTTCTTGAATTGGTCCAGCATTTTCTGAGTCTATACTCGTATACTAATATTATAAAGAGTAAAGATTTGTATTTTTGTATGTATTGAAATAACTCAAAAACTACTGGGACGATTTAAAAAAATCATCCACCATCAAATAGCTATATTATCAGTGAGTAACATAGGCTACTTTTATAATATTTTAAATTACACGCGGACGAAGTCACATGCAACATCTAGTTAGTACAAAAAAAAAACATTAACTGAACTGAACATAAAAAATACTTGTAATTTAAATTTAGTTGCTTTAAAAAACATAGAATCATTATAAAATATACTCTGAATACATTAAAAAAGCAATAAAACACTTCTAACCTCATCATCATCAGATTCGATATCCTCCGGCTCCGAGTCCAGCGCTGTGTCAACTTCACTAACTGACTTTTTCGATATCATTTTGGAATAATCAACATCCTTACGATAAGGGAATGCTGCCTTTAACTTGCGAACTAAATATCTTACCTGAAATCATACTAATATTATAAATGCGAAAGTTTAGATGGATGTTTGTTAGAGTTTGTAGCCTTAACTGCTGAACGAATTTCGGTGAAATTTGCTATAAAAAAAAAACATACAGACGAATTAGTTCCTCCTTCTTTTGGGAAGTCGGTCAACAAAAGCGGATTTAACAAAAGAGAGGACACACAGGAAGAGGATATAATCTGAAAGAACACATAGGCTATTCACTTTTGATTTTTTAATATCACGCGGACGGTGTCGCGGGCTAAAGCTTGTAGTTAACTAAAACTAAAATATGGTTAAACAACAATTTGATTAACTTATTTATTTATTTTTTACTTAGGGAATATCTCGGTATTGATCAGAGGTCAATATTTTTTCTCGTAGAAAATTTTAAAATTATATTCTGGTTTTGACCTTTTTTTTAAAGGGAAGGATTTGACGGAGGAAGCACAGAAAGAGTATATTCCTCTTTTTATGGATCGTTTCCTTTGATTAAAGATGTATCTACAATTCTTGATGTTTTTGGTAGTTTATGGTAGTTTATGGTAGTCGTTAGTTTCATTTAGGTAAATGCAACTAACTTGCTTTGTAATGTTACGATAACAAACTCACTTCTTGCTGTCCAGTTACAAATATCAGAATTCCTCCTTCAGGTAATCTTGTATGTATTTTAACTGCTTTCTTATAAGCTTCCTTTAAATAATCACTGTTTGTGTGTTTGTTGAAATGTATTGTAACTGGAAATTGTCGGGAATCAATCTGAACAAAAAAAAACAAATGTAATACATAACAAGTATTACATTCTTAATTGAATACAAAAAGTATTTATTACGGTGGAATTCTATAATGAATCTATACATGTAATATAATTGGAGTGTCTGTTTGTAATATCAGAAAAATTCCAGATATCGGGAAGATGATGTATTTGCGTTGCTGATAACGAAAAACGCATTTAAAATATTTTGTCCGTTTGTCTGTTTGTCCGCAAGCCGCGTAACATCCGAAACGGTTGGGCCGATTTCGCCCGGACTTTCACTGAAGCTGACAGACGGGCTTATTGTAGGCTACATTTTTCTTAACATTGCGTGGACGTAGTCGCGGGCTACAGCTAGTCTCAAATATTTCTTTTCGTAAACATCGTTTACAAGGTGTCAGACATCAAAATAATGCAATTTGAAGTCTATTTGTAACCTTAAGAGACCATTAAATTTTTAAATAAAATTATAATCATAATGACCTTGCTTCCTTAATGTTGGCAGCTTATAGTTTGTCTCTTTCCCACATTATGGTTTTTACCAATTTATTTGCACTCTAAGTTTAATAGCGTGTAAATATATAGCCTAAGTGGATTGTAAGTAGGACTTTTTATTAAAGAATGAATTATTAAAAAAATATGCTGTGATTGCTGACATCCTACGTCATGAAGTAGTGTGTTTACGCTTTATTATATTCGTATAGAGTATAGAAAAGTAGTAGTATAGATATCTATATTCATTACATAATATTCTTATGGTAAAGTACATCTTAATATATCAGATTTTCAAAGAAATTCAGCAGTGAATGAGCTTGGTTGCTCTTAGTGTACCACATACCGTAACCAATGGAGGCGGTTCTTTAAACAGGCGTTTGTTCTCAGTAAAATCTTCCACTCGTAATGTAGCTGACATAATAATTAACCGCAGTGGGTTGCCACGTTTTCTTCTCAACGGTACAATTCTTGACAATAAACCTAGCAGGATATCAGTATATACACTTCTTTCGTGAGCTTCGTCAATTATTACAACTGAATATTTACTTAGTAAGAAATCTGATTGTATCTCTTTTAGTAATACACCTAGAAATATAATTATTATTAGTTGCTTGCATCATCTTTGTCCTACTCCTGTAGTGACAGGTTTTCGTCCTCCAAATAACTCTATCATACGACATCTCAGTCATCACTCTCTTATTGATCATGTCACCTTTCACGCAATCCATCCATCTGTTTCTGCTTGCAAACATAATAAATAAATACACTTTTAGAGTTGAGGGTCAATTTTCCTCCTCCTTCAAAATATAGTAACGTAAGGAGTTTTCCGAGCAATCATAAAAATTATATACAAAATCATTTTGTTACAAAACATACATGTGTGAATAAAAAATAAACAACAATGAAATTGAGAACTTTATTAATTTTGAAGTTGTTTAAAAATGATTTTCATATCAACAAAATAATTTAAAAGCAGATTAAAGCACCCACAGATTTAATTCTTGGTTAAGCTATAACTAGTATAATCTGTACTTAGTGTACATTTCTTTAACAATCTACACTAAGGAGCTCCATTAGTGTCTCCGAGTATCAACTTACCATCAGTCATGAACTTGATCTTCGTATCTTTAGTGACATTGCCCTCGAACCTCATTAGATATGAAACCTCTTTGCTGGTCAGTCCCAGCTCATGTCCTACCCTAGCAGACATGGCTACAGTAGCCACACGACGTGGTTCAGTCACCGCGATCATTTTACGTTCTGCATACCCCGCTTCGTACAGGAATTGAGGTATTTGTGTTGTCTTACCACTACCTAATAACCAACAATTAATTAATAAGCGGAAATTAAAAACGGCTTAACGATTTTATCCAGTGACGGCACCTACTAGTCAAACTGACTAGGGTCTGAAACTAGATGGTGCCGTCACCGGAGGATAAAAAAGTTAGTTGACCTTTTTTTAATTTCAGTTTAAAGTAAAGTCTCCCAATAGTTTAAACAATTTAATCTTACTAATATTATAAATGCGAAAGTTTAGATGGACGGATAGATAGATGGATGGATGGATATTTGTTAGCATTTGTAGCCTAAACGGCTGAACGGATCTCCATGAAATTTCGCATAAGTTTAGAGCATAGTCTGGAAGAACACATAGGCTACTTTTTATCCCTGGAATAGTTACGGTTCCCGTGGGATTCATTAATTTAGTTTTTTAATATTTACTCGATCATTCTGCAACGGTTTAACATATCTTATTGAAATTTGGCACAGATATAAAACAAAGTCTGGAGTACACATGGGATAAGCTTCATCCCCGAGAAATGTCCAGTTCCCGAGGGATACGTAGCTTTTTGTAATTTATATAGTTTGTGTGTTTTCTAATACCACGCGAACGAAGTCGCGGGCACCAGCTCGTAATTAATAATTGAAAAACGATCTTCATCATCATCACCAGCTCACTATATGTCCCCACCGAGGGGCTCGGAGCCTACCCTAATGTTAGGGTGACTAGGCCATAGTCAACCACGCTGGCCAAGTGCGGGTTGGTTGACTTCACACATATCTTTGAATTTCTTCGCGGATATGTGCAGGTTGCATCACGATGTTTTCCTTCACCGTAAGAACGTCGGGTAAATTATGTACATATGAAAATTCGAAAAATCGAAAATCACATTGGTACATGGCGGCGGGATTCGAACCCAAGACCTGTAGATTACAAGTCAAGTGCTTAAACCACTGAGCCACCGACGCTCTTACTAATATATGAAAAACGATCTTACTAATATTATAAATGGGAAGGTTTAGATGGTTCTTACAACAGCTGACCAGAATGGATCTCGCTGAAATTTGGCATAGATGTAGAATATAGTCTGGATAAACAAATAGGCTAGTAATAAAGTTTTTATAATTCCGCGCTACGTAGTTGCAGACGAAAGTTATTTAAATAAAACTTACTATACCTTTTTACACAAGGGAACATCAGATTGACATCACAAAATTGGTCATAATCCATTAAGAGATAAGTACATAGTAATAAGACATATCAATATTAAAAAGAAGAAAGATTTGTATTTTTTGTTTTGGTATATATTGAAAAAACTTAAAAACTACTAGTCCCATGGTAAAAATTCTTTCAACATTAAAAACCTTTTTTTTTTGTGACTGAGTAGTCACTGTTTGCCTTAAGGAGGCATTTACAGATTCACCGGGCTTGAGGTGGCCAAGCGCAGATGGCGCTTCTTTTATGAGTAACTAGGCTCGAGGGCTTCCTTAGAAGCCTCGTCTCGAGTCGTTACTTCATTATTATTACTGGATTGGTTAAAAACCTATGTTATCACTAAGTAACATAAGCTATATTTCCACATTTTTTTAATTTCTCGCGAAGTCACGAGCAACAGCTATTATAGAATATTAAAGAAATTAGATTTCTTACCTGTTTCACCAGCAACTATTAAAAATTCATTTTCATTAATCAGTTCCATTATCCTTTGTTCTTCTCCCAGTATTGGTAGTTTTAACCTAGCCACTTGTATTTTTGGATCTCGTTTTACGTCAACATGAACTGTAGGGTGTTCGAGTAGTGATTTTTTCTTTTCTTCAACATTTATAACTGGTTTAACATCTACTGGCGCATTTTTCTCTTTTATTTTTTCTTTATTATCTTCATTTTTAGACAAATCATTATTATCAACAATTTCAATGTCATTGCCAACAACTTCCTCTTCTTCATTCACACTTTTCACCACTTCTCCATTTTCTCCGTTCGCTACTTCTTCCTCTTCATCAGATGATATAGATTCATCATCAGATGATTCTTCAAGTCCCACAACATTAGGATCATGTTTTCTCTTTTTAACTTTCTCAGAATTTTCCATTCTTAGTAACCGAAGGCGTTTCTTAGCACCTATAAAATAAAAATCAATTAAACTTGACAGATAGAGTAAGAGATATGTAAGTTATACATTTTTTTTGGTTATACAGTAGAACCTCGATAAGTTAAAGTCCAAGGGAAACACAAAATATTTTAATTTAGTGAGGTTTTAAGTTATCAAGGGTCTATGTTATAGGTTTTGGGCTCTGATAGGAAGGGAACATATTATTTTTTTAAGTTATAGAGGTTTTTAAGTTACCGAGGTTTGAGTTATCAAGGTTCTTCTTTGTAATACATGCACATGTTGTCAGTAGTAAACATGTGGTCCAATTTACAGAACCGACATGTTTCTAAGTTCTTTATCTGGGTTCCTAGGGATTTTAGCTACCATTCAGGGGCAGCTGCCTTTCCTTTGACAGTTAAGTCAGTCAAGCTCAGTAAAGTCAATTCAACGTTATTAATAATTTTGACAACTACCTGCTATACTGCTAAACTTTTTTTGTTCACATATTTCAGTATCTTTTTTAACTATGGCTTCTGTGTTAAATTCATTCAATTTTCTCAGACCAATAGTTTGTACGGCTGAAATGGCTGTTAGTTGTTTTACTTCATCGGGAGTTGCTTGTACTTGAGAAAGTGATTCCAACAGTGCTGCCCTCTGCAAGAATTAGTTTCTTATTGTAATTAACACAAGTCAACATTATTAACCATTGAAGTCTTATGCAATTAACAAAACTTAGCTATACTAATATTATTAAGAGGGAAGATTTGTATTTAGTATGAATTAAAATAACTCAAAAACTACTGGGCCGATTTCAGTAATTATTTCACCATTAAAAAGCTGTTATAGGTGAGTAACATAATAAAATAAATAAATAAAAATAAAATAGCCTTTAATTCAGATCATTTTACAAAGTTTTTGTACATTTTTCTTATTACTAATACACTACTATACATTTATTATTAAAGTTAAGTAACATAGGCTACGTTTATATCATTTTTAAGTGGCGACTAATAGCTAGATTAAAATATACACAATCATAAAAATACTCACCGATTCTTTCTTTTGTTTCTTTTCAACGATTTTTTCCAACTTTTTACGTTGAGCTTTCGAAAGAAATCTGGTTTTTTCTTTTTTCTCTTTGATTATATTAGTTTTCCTTTTTTTAGAAGGCAAAGCCAAAAGATTGCTGGCATCCGAAGCGCCATAATCAGAAGAACCAAATTCTAGCTTAATCTGCAATTATAATTGATTTCAAAGATCAAATTTCCACGTTCAAAACTAAATTCGAAAATAATTCGGATTAAATAGCATAATACCTCGCTTGTTTGAGTATTATCTATGTTTGTTTTAACAACTTGTCGAGCCTTTGCATTGTGCCGTGCTTTCCCCATCGTTGTACAGAATTTTTTTAATTAAATTACACTTTCATGTACTGTGGATTACATATATTGTTAATTCAACGAAAACCTAAATATCATACCCCAAAAACGTGCTTTTGTTATGACTTTTGTTCTGTCATTTTATTTTGACAATGACAGATTCCGTTTTTTTATTTGTTAATTTGAGCCGCCTGCCGACCACCATTCTGCCACTTGTAAAAGTTAATCGTATTGTAAGTGACAATAATATAATACGTACAATTTCTGGAATCGAATAAATGAAACACGAGTAGGTAATGGTAGCAGAATCGTGTTTGTTTTACTTAGTTAAAAAAGATAAATGTAACCTTTTGTCAATGTCATTGTCAATAACTGTCATTTATGCAGTGCGTACGAAAAGTTTAATTTACGATTTTTTTATTCAGATATTAAATAAATAGTATTGATATTTCGTAATAAAAATGTGGAATGAAATAACCAAGCTCCATATCAACATCAATAAAATCGAAGACACTAAAATGCTGTGCAATAACACTGCAATAGCCATTCGTACTCATCGAGGTTTGCACATTTTAGATATTCCTTACAATTTGCACCGATACGACAAAAAACTTGATTATATAGAGACTTTAATCCTCGCTTCGAAATACAGTCCAGTATCTGTATTATTTGAGAACAATTTTATAAAAGGCGGTGTCAAAAATTCTGAATTTATTCAAATGATTTTGGATCCTACATTGTGGCCGCATAATAATCAACTTCTGAACGAAATGACGAGTATTGTCGCCTTTGAATGGTCTCCGTCTGGGTTTATTAATGATATGGAGAGTTTGATGGCTGTTTTAACAAATGTTGGTTGTGTTGAACTATATGGACCTAGTAGGTTACAATGGATTAGTGTTTTAAATATATCTTCATTAGTTAAGGACAATTTGAAGCGTTTATCATTAGCAAATGTAGATATAAGTCCTAGAAACTCAAAAGAACTTCAAGAAGTTGCTCATGCTTTAGCTACAGTAGCTATTTGCTGGCCGAACAAAAACATCAGAGATGGTTCATGCTATTTTGTAACTGCACAGAGGAATGGTTTAATTTTATTTTGGTTAATAAATTGTAGGGATTCGAAATTAAATGCAGAAGTTATCGGTCATATAAATGCAGAACCAATAGAAATCAATTTTATTAAATGGGTCCCTATCAGTAATGACAAATTCTTACTAATTATATCAAACATATTAGGAAAAGTATATATTCATGTATGTATTATAGAAAATTATTCAATAAAAGCATTAAATAAACATGAAATATGGTCTTATAGTGATAGAATGGCAGCAAATAATTTCAATTATTATATTAAAAACGAAAATTTAATTTTACTTTATAGTAAAAGTAGACACTTTGTTGTACAGATTTTTGATACAGATTATAAATTAATAAAACAAGAGGTGAAAAATATAACAGATTATAAAGTGACTGATATTAAAAAGATGAATAATGAATTTTATTTGTCTACTATTAATAATAAATTTTATAAAATACAAATCGAATGTATTGATAATGAATTTCAAGTGCAAACAGTTTTAGTAGACATGAAAGAATCATATCCTAGTTCGGAATTACATGCAATTGGGTTTTCACCGAATGGTGTTTTATGTATGTTTGCATTAATAGAGAGAAAAGTTCTATGGAGAAAAGAACCTTTAAGAATAGATCTAATTTTACTGAAAAAGTCCAATGATAATTCAGAAATCCTAGCATTATATGAGAATAAAACAAAAAAATTGACAAATCATTGGGAATACATTGAAGTGCTACGATATATGACTTTAAAGACATCAGTGTTACCAGAATTTGATTATGCTAATTTATTATTAGAAGGTGAAAAAAATATTTATAAATTAAAGTTATATTTTATAATTTTAACACTTTATAATAATTTGAAAAACCTTTGTAAAACACACACAGTTGTATCTTTACCGGAGACATCGTTAGAAGTTATACGTGAAAAAATTTATGCTTTTCATGCAAGTGATGTTATGAAACAAATTTATAAAAAGTACATCACCAATTGTATAAGCAAATTGGAATTCGAAACACTGGCTGGTGGTAAATTGTATTTAGAATATTATTGTAAAAAATATGAAAAAGATGTATCAGATTTTGTTGATCCTAAAATTGTATCAATAACCACAGATTATAAATATATTTGCCAGTGTTGCGATGAAGAAATTAATGGTTTTACCTGCATTAATGGACATTTAAATATGTTCTGTTCTATAACATTTACACTTATTGAGAATGATGACTATCTTATTTGTAAGGGATGTGGGGTACTGGCACGTTTAGAATTGTTGCCAGAAAAACCAACTTGCGTGTTCTGTGATTTGTATTTATATGAATTTGTAACAACATAATAAAACAAAATAAATTCAAAGTTTTCCTTTTTTTGAGTTGTATTGAAACATGCTTATAACTCATTCAGGGTTTTTCAATGATATTCCCCACATTTTTCATGATTTTCCACGCTAAGCTTCAGCAGACTACAGACTACCATAATATCCAACTGTCATATTGATTAGCTGCGATTTTATTTTGCATAAATACAAAATATTTATTGCTCATTATTTCTTTTGTGTAGATAAAGTGTTATCCCTTAAAATAACATTATGAAGTGCGCGGGTTGTTTAAAGAGTACCAAAGAAGCTAATATAACAAAATGTACTTCGCTTACTTGCGATAAATGCTTTTGCATTTTGTGTGTTCCCTTAGCTAGTTCGACCGAGAAGAAAAAGACTTGGAAATGCCCCGATTGCAGTGTATACCCAAATTCCGGCTCCGAGTTAACGGGGTTTACTAATGAGCTTCGTAATCTGACAAAGGAAATATCCTCTCTCAAATATCAATTAGAAGATGTTACCAAGTCTCTTTGTTTTTGCCACTCTCGCCTTGACGACATTGTCGCCTCTCTTAAAGCCACGGACAAAAGGTTAAAGGTATTAGAAGAGCGGGACAACGAGTTAATAAGTCTTAAGGCCACGGTTGTACGTTTGGAAGATGAGTTACATACGCAAAGGCAGAATGATATGAAAAACGAAATCGAAATTATCGGAATTCCCGAGGGGCTGAATGCAACTTTACAGCATTCCGTAAAGATCGTAGCGCAAAAACTCGGCGTTGAGCTCAAGGAAGATGACGTAGACTATATAACGCGCACAGGGCCCCGTCGCCCAGAATCCGTCACCGAACGTCCTGATGAAGCTCAGATGACGTCGCGGCCCGTAGTTGTACGCCTTCTGCGTCGATCTAAGCGAGATGAATTGGTGCAGGCCTCGAAGTCACGTCGTAACCTATCAACTTCCGACCTACAGGTTCCTGGTGTCGCGCGAAAAATATATCTTAATGAAAGGCTCACCAAAGAAAATCGCCAGTTATTTCGTGACGCAAGAATTCGGTCCAAAAATGTGGGCTTCGCCTTCTGTTGGTGTATCAATGGCGCAATTTATGTTAGGGAAAAAGAAAAGAAACCTGCTGTGCGTATACGGTGTTCTAAGGACCTGGACCGGATTTTTCCGCTTTCTCCGTCGACCACGCAGTAAAATAAAATTATATTTCATGGTTTCTATTCTGTTCAACGCTGCTACGTTTTTGCTAAATATCAAAAATTTTGTAATAAAAACGAACGGTATAAAAAAATTATATGTTACTGTAATATGTCATATTTGCGACTTAACCCAATTTACATGTGACGATGTCACTACTAATAACATAAACTTAATACTTAAATTTGTAATAATGCATTTATATATAATGTTTAATACTCCATATCATTTCATTAAATTCAAGTTTATTGTAATGTACAAAAATACATGGGTTCAACTAGTATCATCATTAATCTCCATCTGTAAGTGCCGCTGGGCTGTTTTGCTCCATGTTGAAATTTTACATTATTGCATGTTTTATTATGTACATCATAACATTATTATATATCTATGTGTCAATATCGCCACTATTCAATTGGTACACTCTTTATTTGTCACATGTATTAGGCCTATAGGAGTTGCAATTTTTGCTTTTACATTTTGTGATATATATGTCATATCGCAGTCATACCTATATTTTTCCTGTATACACGACATAACTCTATCCCTTAACATTAGAACACACTGTATTCACCAAAACCTAAATTATGAGTCGTTTTATAGGCAATTATGGATAATTTTATTTTTAATTTCAATCAAATTATAGAAGATTTGGTAAATAACCTTGACTCGTTAAAAGTTGACTGCCGTGTTGTTAATGAAATTGAATCTTGTAAAGGATGTTTCGCGTTAAACCATAATTTCAAACTTCTTACTCTTAACATAAGAAGCATACAAAAGAATTTTGACACGTTTCTCTTAGCACTCACCCGTATGGATTTAACTCTCGATGTACTCATTTTGACAGAATGCTGGCTAAATGATACTGTGATTATTCCGCAAATACCAGGCTACGATTCGTTTAAAACAGAACGTAATTTAAATCAAAACAGTGGAGTCGTGGTCTACGTAAGAGATGTCTGGAACTCACTAATCTCTGAGCCCATTATCAACGATGCAAATTGTTTGTCTGTTAACATACAAAATGTAGCCAACATTTACGCTATTTACCGCTCACCGTCGTACAATAACATAGATAATTTTCTATCTTCTATTGGAAGTTGTCTCCAAAATTCCAACGGAGTACCTATAATTTTGGCTGGAGATATTAACATTAATTTATTGGATATATCTAGTTCTAGAACCCTAGAATACCAATGCTTCCTGGCTGAACATGGATTTGTACCGGCCATCACAAAACCTACCAGAGGGGCGTCGTGTCTTGACCACATATACATCACTGACTCACATCGCAACCCGACTCCAATAGGTATTGTGTGCAAATCCGACATTACTGATCACTTTCCAGTTATGCTTGGATTAAGCCTTCATAAAGCCAAGACAAGTCGACCACCCCGGACTATACTTAAAATAGACTTTGCTGGTATAAGAAGAGACCTCGTTGAAAGAGACTGGAGTGACATCACTACTAGCACTAATGTTAATGAGGCAACAAAATTATTCTCCGACATTTTGGTCACAAGTTTAAAGATGCATAAGCGTGAAGTCCGTGTGAGTAGAACAAAATACAACCTTAAACCCTGGGTCACGCCAGGACTCATGCGCTGTATGAGGCACCGTGACCGTCTTCATCATCTTTCAAAACTGGAACCACATAATGACATTTTACAAATCTCTTATAGAAGGTATCACAACTTTCTCGTTAGTCTATTGCGTAAAATCCGATTACAACATGAACAGAACGAAATTAACGAAAACAAAAAGAACCCGAAAAAGCTTTGGCGCTCCATTAAAGAAATGTGCGGCATAAGTAACAAGCGGCAAGAACCCATAGAACTATTAGATGAAAACAATGTTGCTCGGATGCCACTTGACCTTTATAATGTCTACTTCTCAACTCTTGGGCAATGTCACGCAAACAAGATCCTAACGGAAACTTTTACAACAGAAACTGACCTTGCTAAAACAGTCCAGGCTAAAATAACACCACCGAATTCATTCTATATGTATCCCACTGATTGTGAAGAAGTATTTGGCTTAATAATGTCCCTACAAAATGGCAAAGCTACCGGTGCTGATGGCTGGTCTAACTCCTTAATTAAACACGTTAAAGATACTATCTTAATCCCACTAACTTATATATTTAATCTTAGCATGTCTAGTGGAATTTTCCCCTCTATTTGGAAATTAGCTGCCGTAATTCCTGTTTATAAAAATGGCCCTAAAACACATATTGAAAATTATAGGCCCATATCCTTGCTGAGCTCTTTCTCTAAAATGCTCGAAAAACTTGTTCACAACCGTCTGACTAATTACATGAATTCTCATAATGTTATTTCTGACAGGCAATTTGGATTTCAAAGAGGTAGGGGTACTGAAGATGCAGTCTCCCTTTTAACTTCAATTGTCTCCTCAAAATTAGCTGATAAAATCTGTTGTGTGGCTGTCTTTTTAGACTTAGCCAAAGCCTTCGATACTGTCTCCGTGCCTATCCTTTCACAGAAATTATTTAACATCGGTGTAAGAGGCATTGCCCTTGACTGGTTTAAGAGCTACCTTACAGATCGGATGCAGTGTGTGAGGCTTGGAGGAGTTATGAGCAGCCCAGAGTGTATTAACTTCGGGGTTCCGCAAGGCAGTATATTGGGTCCTTCGCTGTTCACAGTTTACATAAATGATATTCATGATATACCCATCGAAAATTCTGAAGTTCTCTGCTATGCGGATGATACTGCAATAGTTTTCAGTGGCTTGACTTGGCACGAAGCTTTGCTGAATGCTCAGGTGGGCTTGTCCAAGGTTCGCGTTTGGCTCCAAAATAACCTCTTGACGCTCAATGTAAAGAAGACCAATTACGTTTGCTTTCATAAAACAGCAGCGTCGGCTCCCGAAATGACATCGAATTTAAAACTCCATCACTCCTCTTGTGATATGGATGATTGCGACTGTGAGTCTCTGACTAGAGTTAGTGTTGTAAAATATCTGGGCATCCTCATAGATGAAAAACTAACCTTTAAAGACCACGTTGAATCGCTAACATCCCGGGTGAGGAAGGTTATCGGCATCATGAGAAAACTGCGAGATGTGACCAACTTGAAAATTTTGAAAAGCATATACTTTGCGCTATGTCAATCTCTTGTGACGTATTGCATATCTTGCTGGGGCGCTGCGAATGCCACTACCATGATCCGAATTGAAAGAGCTCAACGCTCTGTCTTAAAAATCATGATGAAGAAACCATTTCGGTACCCCACTTCAGATCTATATAGAGATTCCGGCATGCTGACCGTAAGGCAATTGTATATTTATAAAACTTTTATTATTGTTCATAAATCATTGTTCGGATCTGCCGAACACAAAGCTATGTTAGCTCGCAGAATCCACCGGTTACCTACGCCTTCAGTTAAAACACTCTTTGCGCAACGCACGGGTACTTTTATTCAAAAACATATCTACAATTCTGTATTAAAACACTGTGACTTACTAGAAAAATCTCTGCCACAAGCCAAGTCCTGCTTACTGAAATGGTTGCTAACTTTAAATTATAATGACACTGAGAACCTTTTGAAAATTTCTACCTAACACTCCGCATTTCTAAGTAATCTTGTTTATTAGGACGTTTATAAATATTTATTACATACATACATATATATAAGATACTCATACATTTATAATATATATTATTTATTCTCAAGTATTTAGTTTTATTGTTACCTCTTATTTTATTTATTTATTCTATACATATATCATATATCATATATCATCTTGCATATTTATTTTTCTTTCATTAATTCATAATAATACCGAAACGCCGTAAGCGTAGGTTTTTAATTATACCGTTTAAAAATATTTTTCCTGCTGTTTCGATGCCCACGATACAGGCATTGCCTAGTGTGGGTATCACTAGATCAATCACATTTATCACTATTTGTATTTATCTTTTATTTGGTTATAACTTTTATTGTTAATTATTAATCTGTTTTCAATAAATTTCAATTTCAATTTCAATCCGATAGTTTGACTGGGTCAGTATGTTATATATAAATCGTTGCAATATGTGCACCGTAATACATGTTCGTACTGTTTATACGCTCCCCAAACTGTCCGCCGATAAAAGTATGTAGTCTGCAAGAACTCAACGGGTCTCCCTGAGTGACCATTAAACGATTGTAGCAGTTGCATGGTGTAATTTCCTGAGTAAATTAACGTAGGCTAATTAACTGGATATGTACGTAGAAATAAATAATAGAAAAACATTGTCTTGATTTTTTTATTAAAAAAATATTGGAAATTAGTTAATAAATAAAATTACAAGCTTATCTTAAGCTCAAGCTTTGTAATATCTGACTGCAGTACCATCCCAGTTTGTTCTTGTCAGTGTCTAAAAATAAAACATTTGTTAACTTAAAAAAAAGCAGTATTGATAATTTTAATTTAATTCAATGCCTAAATTACGTAAACAGGAACGTCAAATTCCTTTTACGCCTTTTTTTTAATGAAACTTACATACTAAACTTAACTGCTGTAAACTATAAAACAATTTATAAATATTAAAAATATCTTACCACTATCAGTTTATCGTCGAAATATTCTCTTTTAGTGTATAAAATATTACCATCCGCAAACTTTTGGGTTTGAGTGAGAGTGTTGCCATCAAGGGTAAATGTTGTCTTAGCCTGAAATAGTATAATAATTAGCAGGTCGTCTATGGGAAATTAATAAAAAAAACTGAGTTGCCTATATGCTATTGATAACAATCTGTTAATCATCTCAATCAGATCTGTTAATATCGAGTTACGTTAACAAAAATCTATCTATTAAAAATTAGTCATTTAAATTTCGTCCGCGTGGAATTGAAAAACAAAAACAAAAGTGAGTAGCCTGTCTTCTTCCAGACTATCGTCTACGTCTATACCAAATTTAATCGAAATCGGTTCAGCAGTTTAGACTACAAACATTTATCCATCTGAACTTTCGCATTTATAATATTAGTAAGAATACTGATACCGGCTTATATCATGATACCGTGACAAACGATTTTTCAATGACCGATAGCCAATTTATCAATATAATTAAATCTTTAAACTAATAGATAATTAATTTTTATATGATAATAGGCACGCCGGGGGGCAGAAGTGGCGCGACCTGGAAACTACAAAAAAACGAATACGAATACTGTTTTGGCGGTAGCTGCCCCCTCACCTAGACTTAGCCAGATTGACTACCGATGTGCATGATCATGTATTCATTATCTATACTAATATTATAAAGAGGAAAGATTTGTATTTTTGTATGTATTGAATTACTCAAAATCTACTGAGCCGATTTCAAAAATTCTTTCACCATAGAGCTATAAGTGAGTAACACAGGCCATATTTTTCAGTTATTTATTATTTTACACGGCCGAAGTCACGAGCAACAGTTAATATAACATAAAGCTATATTTCTTCAAAGTAAATTCGCGTTGTTAATGCTTACATTATGTCCTTCAGCAAGGTTCTCATCAAACTCCTCGCCTACTTTGAAAGATATTGTCCGATCTCCCGCTGCACTGACAGCTGTCATGGTGTAAGTGTCTCCGTTCTTCTCCAGCTTCTGTTGTGGCTTGTAGTTCTTTAAGTTGGCTACTCTATCCGCCGGCAAACCTATAAAGTTAATCTTACTAAACTTATCTATATATCTATAAATATAATAAAATTGGAGTGTCTGTTGTAAAATCAAAAGAAAAATTTCAGATTTCGGAATAATGATATATTCGAGTTGCTGATAACGAAAATCGCATTAAAAATTTTTGTCTGTCTGTCTGTCTGTCCACAAGCCACAAGCGTTTGTTCCAGGCAATCTCCGAAACTGCTGGGCCGATTTCGTCGGGAATTTCACTGCGGGGTAGCTGACATTAACAGGCATATTATAGGCTACTTTTTGTCATATTGGCGTAACGGGTGGTCCAAAGCGCTAACTACGTTTGTGGGTAACAGCTAGTTAATATTATAAATTCTAAAGTTTAGATGAATTGATGGATGTTATGTTAGAGTTTGCTGCCAATACTTCTAAATGGATCTCAATGAAATTTGTCATAGATGTAAACTACACTGTAGCTTTTGCTTTTTTTAATTCCATGTGAACGGCCTCGCGGAGTGCAAGCTAGTCTTTTAACATTTTATATTTGGTATGGCAATGGACAAACAAGCGATGGTTTTTAGTAAAAAAAAACACATTTAGCTAACAATAAAGCAAAATATATTTACATATTTGGAAATCTAGGTGTCAAATATTAGTTATACAATTTTACTGGCTGTTACTCGCGACTTCGTCAGCGTGAAATTAAAAAAAAAATCTATGTTATTTACTGATCGTAGCTTTTTAATAGTGAAAGTAGTTTTTGAGTTATTACAATACATACAAAAATACAAATCTTTCTTCTTTATTAGTATAGATTACGAAAGAATTCTTACCTAAACTTTCGATGTACGGTTCATAGTTTTCATCTCGGTCGTGTGAGTATAGTTTACCGAGGAAGGCCATTTTAGACTTTTGCGAATCTAAATCAACAATCGTCGATTACTGAATAATTGAATTTGCCGACATACGATATTTATAAGCAATTTCCTGTAGATAATGACTATCTTATCGTTACGAATTAAAGGTGTGTATTGATATCATAATACAAAATATTTTCGTGTTGTTAAAAGATACTTTTACTTCGGATTTAAATGCAAAAACAAATTGAAGCAAAAGCCAGTGGCATATCGTGGATTATGATTTAAGTTGGCACTACTTTCTGGAGATCAATTCTCACAGGATAAAACCTACATCTCAAATAGTTTAAGTAAATAGGAAATTCTGTTGGCTAACCTAAGAAATGTGATGATTTTAGTCTTATGTTGAATCACGTCCTATCAATTCGTTACTGTTATTTACAAGACGCCAAAAATGAAAATGATATCCAATTCGTATTTTCTCGTTATGGCAAAATACAGTATTAGCTGTTGCCTCTCCGTCTGCAGTGAATTAAAAAAACTCTTTAAAGTAACCTAACTTTTTCCATACCGTGTTTTGTATCTGAACTACTTCGGGATTCGTTTATATGCTAGGGAGATATTAAGAAACATTCCTCTAATCAGATTATCTCGTTTATATTACACAAGCTGTTGCCCGCGACTCCGTCCGTGAGGAATTAAAACAATTCCCGGGATCAAACTCTAACAAACATCCATCCATCTACACTTTCGCATTTATAATATTAATAAGATATGGTTATGGTATTAATAGCAGAACTCGAAAGTATGACATTGTCACGATTCAAAGGTCAATATGTGATATCTATACTATTATAATAAAGCGTAAACACACAGTTCTTTGTTGCCTAAGATGTCAGCAATTTAACATATTCTTGAATAATTCTTTTTTTAATAAAAAGCCCTAGACTTAAGTCTCGCTTTAGGCTGAATATTTTCACGCCATTAAACTTAGGGGGTAAATGTTTTGGATAAAACCCTAATGTGGAAAAGAGACCATAAGTTGCTGCCAACATAAAGGAAACAAGATTCCCAAGGTTTGTCATGTCATGTCAGTTTGACATTTGATATTGATAATTTGACAAATGTAAACAATAAAATAATATTTTCATAATTTCATGCGGATGGAGCCGCACGGGAACAGCTAGTATGTGATATTTTAAATTATGACATCATTAATTTATCTGTTATTTCCACTATTATGTTGTATGATGAAATTACATTGACACTTTATAATCGTATTAATATTTGTAGATTAAGATAACAGTGTTGTGTCATGGGCAATGCTTACCAAATTATTACATAATGACGCTTCGGCTACTCCATCCTTATCGGCTACTCTACATACTACGTGATCTCAAATTAGGCTCGAGCCCATACGCGTCGCCGAGTGTGTAACTGACTGTGGGGCAGAGGGGGCAGCTACCTCCCCTAAAGACTCTAAAAAAGTAAAATATGCTCGCGTCTACCACAAATTGGAGATAATTAGGTCTTAGTCAAACACGCTTTTTTTTTACAATATAAGGTGGCAAACGAGCAAGCGGCCA